TGCCGCGCTCCTTCCTGGTGAAGAAGCACTTCTCGGCCAGCAAGAAGCCCAACTACAGCGAGCTCGAGAGCCAGAGCGGTGCGTGCCGCGCCGGGCGGGACCTTTAAAAACTATCTATTTTTTTGTTTGTTTGCCCCGTTTTATGCATGAGCCGCGCGGGGGTGAGGGGCGCACATGGGGCCAGTGTTTTGCCTTTGTTTCTGCTTTTCTTAAGAGAAAAGTCTTTAATTAAGTGCGGTGGGGAAACTTTTCTTTATCTTCTTTGCAGAGGGCGGGCGAGGAGCCCCTTAGGGGGAGGGCACGGGGCGCCTTGTCCCCCGCGGTCCCGGGTGCTCTGGGCGCCCCGTTCTCGGGCGGGGAGCGCTGGAGCCCCCCGCGCTGGGAAGGGCCGGCTTCCTCCTCCCTTGGCCCCGGCGCGTCGCGGTCCCCCCGCGGCCGGGCGGCTCGGGGCGCGGCGCTGAGCGCCCTGTCCTGCCGCCCGCAGTGCTGGTGTCGCCGCTGCTCTACGAGCCGTGCCCGCTGTCCGTGATGCCGCCGGGAGAGGTGCTGGGCGGCACCACCTACTACCCGCCGCTCGTGTGGGACGCGGGGCTGCTCTCGAGCCTCTTCCCGGCGGGCGGCGAGGCGGCGGGCGGCCCCGCTCCCGGCCTCGACCTGGCCGCGCTCTCCAGCGAGGAGGACGAGGGCAAGAGCTCGGGGCCGCCCAGTCCGGCCTCGGCGCCCGCCGCCGCCGAGCGCTTCCGCTGCGCCCAGTGTGCCAAGGCCTACTCCACGTTCGCCGGGCTCTCCAAGCACAAGCAACTGCACTGCGACGCCCAGGCCAGGAAGTGCTTCAGCTGCAAGTACTGCGAGAAGGAGTACGTGAGCCTGGGGGCTCTCAAGATGCACATCCGGAGCCACACGCTGCCCTGCGTCTGCAAGATGTGCGGCAAGGCCTTCTCGCGGCCCTGGCTGCTGCAGGGCCACATCCGCACGCACACCGGTAAAGCTGCCCCTTGCCCCCGCTCCCTCCTGCCCTTATCGCCACCCGCTTCCCAGCTCGGCTGCCTCAAGCGAATCGGCGCTTTGGGTGTTATCGGGAGAGATAAGGGCTTCCCAAACCCCCTTGGCACATCCTTCCGTGGCCACAGCCTTTAAATATCCTCCCAGCCGCAATGGAGCGGGGGGTCAAGGCTCTGCTCGTAACTGCTGCACGCGGTGACAAGGACACGGTGCTGCCCAGCACCTCGGCCTGGAGCAGCAGCCACTCGGGGCCGCTTCCCCGCTGCAAACGTGGGCGCCCGTGGGCCCGCGCGGGGCAGGTGCTGGAGCGGTGCCCCGGCCCCGTGCACCTGTTGGAGCGCGGGGCGGCCGCAGCTGCCGCGCGCGGCCTCCCGCTCCCCGAGTGCCCGCCACAAAGCGCCCCAGCCGCCTTTGTGCCGGCCGGGCCGCTCTCATTGTTACTTGGCACCGATTTCACACCCTCTTAGGGGACCAAAGCCGAGGTCTGGAGGAAGCTGGAAGGACTTAATTGTGCTTTCCAAATTGAGCATACGCATTTGTTTCCTCCCAAAGAGCCTTTCTGACAGGAATTCACCCTGCCCGGGCTTTTCAATGCCAGCCAGGAGGGAGGGAAAAGGGGGAGGAAATAGCTCCAGTGGCCCCGTTGGCGCCGGGTTGCCTGCTATGATCTGATGAGCGCTGTGCCGCGCGTGCTGGCTGCTCTGCAAAGAGCTCCCCTAGCTCAGGAGCTGCCTGTTGTCCCMATCTATCTCAGAAGCTGGTCCTGGGGCAGCTTCTGGCAGTGTCGGTGAGGGAATAGCCATGTACCTCCCCKTCCAGCCCTAAGAGCAAGAATAATAACCCCAGCCCTGCTTTTCACAGTGCTCCTCACCAACTTTGGCTAATGAATGGCCCCTTCTTTGATATTCTCGCTGTGTTGATGCACTGCTTAATTGGGCCCTTTGGCTTTGTCTCGCAGGTGAAAAGCCCTTTTCCTGCACACACTGCAACCGGGCCTTCGCCGACCGCTCTAATCTCCGYGCCCACCTGCAGACCCATTCAGATGTAAAGAAGTATCAGTGCAAAACCTGCTCCCGGACTTTCTCCCGTATGTCCCTGCTTCACAAACACGAGGAAACGGGCTGCTCCGGAGCGCGCTGAGGACTCGGCCCCGCCGCCTGCCCACACGTATGTTGTAACTAGTTGCTGTAGAAGGTAGTTTCCGTGGTGTTGCCGTGCGTGTCCGACCTGCAGACACAGCTACTGGGGGCCTTRAGAGACTTCTCCACACTCCTCGTTTCGTGCCTCCTGTGCAATTGTCAAGGCCCGGTCCCTCTCCCGGCCGAGGCGGCAGCACTGGCCGCTGCAGGTGCCGGTCCTGGCGCTCCCGCCTGGCTCGGCTGGGAGCCGAATCCCGCGGGATTTGCTGCCGACCTGCATCAGGTGCTACTGGTTGCTGAAGGCGCTCAGCACCTTGCAGGGTGGCACCTGCACCCTGACCGCGCCGCTGGTATAGAACATTGCAATTCTGTAGCTTTGGGGTTTGCTTTTTTGTTCTGGTTTTACCATAACCACTTGGTAACTCTTTAAGAACTGTTTTTTTTTTTTTTTTTTTTTTTTTTTTTGATGAAGGACAAAGTGTTAAGCCAAACCCCGTGCCCCTACCCTGACTGTACATACGCCGCCTGTAGAAGGTGTAACTATGCAATAATACAGTGTCACATTAGTTGTGAAGCAGCTGCTTCTCCCCAGCACAATGACAATTTGCAATGCCTCCCAGATTAACAGTGTCCATGAAAGGCATGGGTAGCCATTTCAAACAAGAATCCTGTTTACAGAGCAGCTATGCACTCAAGCACCTGTTAATATGACTCTTAACAACTGCTTTTCAAGAGAACTGTGACTAATAGCGGGCACTTGTCAGCTGATACAATGGTGGCCTGTGCGGCTGCCGACAGGTGGGTGCCCCGCGCTATTTATGGGTGTTGACAGGTGCCTCCTCAATGCATCTTTCTTTGGACATTGTTTTTGCAGCATCATAGCAAAGAGGATGTTTACATTTCAAAGGTACACTGGTATTTATATATATATATATTATTTTTTGTGCCACAATTTTGTACTGATGAATCTTTTTATATAATTATATACAGTTTATTGATATTCAATAAAATGGTTAATTTATAACAGGTTCCTGGGGAGCGGTGCGGCCGCCTCGTGCGCGGGGTGGGAGCTGCGGCGCTGGGGGCTGCAGGTGCTGTCGTGTGCGGTGCCCGCCCGGTGCTGCGGGCCCCGCGATGCCTCTCGCCGGAGCCACCGGGGCTGAGTCAGTTCCTGCCCGTGCAGCGGGCGGCAGCGCGGCAGGGAAAGGGGAACTGTGCCGGGCCGCGGGCTCCCCRTTTTCACTCGCTTTGCCCGGCTGTGTCTGGGCTGCTTTGGCTCCCAACTGGCCTCCCAGCTGGCTGCGAGGGAGCTCGAGGCTCAGTTGGTGGGAACTGGGGGTCAGGCTGGTGCTGGGGCTGCATGAGCCTTGGCTGGGGTCCCTGGGGCAGGATGTGTCCCCTGCACGAGCCGGGGGGTGGGTGAGCGGCGGTGGTGCCTGGGTGGCTGCGGCGGTGCTGACGTGTCACCCTGTCACCGCTCGGCCCTGCGGCTCCCRTGTGTGGGGGCTGCTGCAGGGCTGTCCCTGCGCTGGCACCAAGCACCAGTGGAGGGGAGCCGGGCAGAACCCACAGGAGCCTCCATGGCCCCATGCGCCCCAAGCCCCGCAGGAGRGAGCGGAGCTGGATGCTGCTGGGCTGCTCGCCCTGCTCCCCAGTGTCCYAAGCCCTTTCCAGGTGTCTGCACCACCCCGGCTCCTTCAGGCTGCTCCAGGCRCCCTCTGGACTCCCCCAGCACTGGGATCTCCCTCTTGTCCCATGTCTCCCTGCACTTCCACAGAGCCATCCCAGGCACAAAAGCGGGTGACCGCCTGCATCCCGCCCAGCTTGCAGCCCCGGTGCCGCCGCGGCGCAGCAGGGAGGCGCGTGGCTGTAAACCAGAGCAGGTCTGCTGCCCGGCCCCGCTTTAATTAATCCAGCCCCATGGAAGGCGACTTTCCCAGAGAGCCGGACTCATTACTTTGTCATTAGGCGGCAGGAAGGTTTGGGGCTTGCTCTGCYGTGTGCTGGACTCTTCCTTTTCCCAGCAGGAAGTGGGGGAGGGAAGCAGCCGCTAATTGCTTGCAGCTTTCCAGCCATAAACCCTGGGATTTGCAGGAGTAACGAAATAGTTAAAACAAGAAAGCCTGCTTTGCAGGAAGGACCACCTGCAGGAGCTGCAGAGGAAGGTCGAGGAGCTGATAAAGGAACCAGCGGCTGCACCCACACTGGGTGCTTTGAGGTCCTTGCTTGCTGGGCACCGAGTTTACCTGTTTTCCACCTGCCAGGGAGAAATCCACCCGGTGCCCTTTCCCTGGGCTCAGCTGCTTCATATCGCTAGGAGGGGCGATGAGAGTGGCGAAAACCCTTCTTTTTAGCAACCTTTGCTGGACTCGTGGGCTTTGTGCAGTGGCCGCAGGCCTTGGCGAGCAGGTCTGACATGGGTGGGGGACCTCCTGGGACAAATCCGCCCACATTCAAACACAAATACCGCCKTAAGACAGCAGGGAAAAGAAATGCGGCCTGCTCTGAATCACAAAGGAGCTGCCCATGGGCACTTGTGCTGCATGTGCTCCCTCGGCAGCCCGTGTCCCTCCATCCATCCATCCCTCTGTATCTCTCCATCATCCATCCCACTGTGTCCCTCCGTGGTCCATCCCGCCCTCCCKCCGCTGACACACCCAAAGTCCCCAGTCCATGTCAGTGCTCGTGGGTGCATCCCCGGCCTGGCCAGCTGCAGAGCCCTGTGCAGCAGAACCAGGCACCTCGTGACGAAGCCTCGGTGCTTTTTTCATTCCTGCTCCTTTTTCCCCCTTTTATGGCTACAGGAAATACACACGCTGCAAGGCGGCTCCGTGGAGCCYGGCTCTCCCGTCCAGGTAGGGCAGGCGGCTGCAGTGGGGGAGCTGTTGGTGGCCACCTCGGGTGACATCTGCAACCCATTACGGGCGTGCTGGTGAACCGGGAGCGAGCGGTGGGGCGGGCGGCGGGACGCGGGACGGGCAGGATGCTCCACGCCGCCCGCCGCGGGATGCTGACAATCCAAGCGTTTGAACTCCCCGTTTTAATTTCCATGGCCCCGACGGGACCTCGAAGCGAGCACGTCCATCCCCTGGGCTCCTGGAGCCCGTTCAAAGTGCAGGGGGAAGCACGAGGCGCAGCTCCCCCTCCTTGGCAGCATGGGGATGGAGGGAGATTCCCGCACGAGTTCCTGCTCCTGCAGCCCTGTTGCCGCTGGCTCCCCACGGGCTTTTCCCTGCAGCACATGCCATGTGCCTGGGATATCCAAGGCCGGGACATGTACATGGATGATCCAGTCCTGGGGCAGAACCGCCAGGGATGCAGCATCCATGTCATCCATGGGCTGTTGCCACCGGCTGTGACCCCAAAGTAATCTTTAGTGGCTGGAATCCCAAATTAATCTTAAATGGGGTGATGAAGCAGTAAGATGGGGCCAGCGAGGTGCAGGCGGTGAATGTGAACACATGCATCGAGCCTCCCTGACACCGCCCTGCCTCCCCATGCTCCTGTCCCGTGTGAACGGGCACAACGAGACGTGGCCGCAGGAGAAGCCCCGTGCGGGTCCCCAGCGCCTCGCAGCAGGGCAGAAAGGGAAAGACAAAAACAGCTAAGCGGTTATATTTAATTTCTTCATTTGAGGATTAACAGCTTGGCACAAGGAGATGGGGGGGTGCTTGGAGGGGAAGAAAAAGCACATGTACAACCAAAGACCTTATCCTCCCTATAGAAATCAGCACAGGTTTCACCAGCCCGGCTTTACAATAGCAATGCTGTGCTGTAACATATTGGAGAGCTGCCTAGAAAATCATCAGAAAGTATTTTAAATCCAGCATAACATGCATATTTATGGATCACCTTCTGTTTTACTGGGCTCCCTGAAAGCAAAGCGAGGCCTGTTTGCCCGCTCCCCATAAAACGGCTCGCGTTTCACAGGCAGGGCGAGCGGCGGCTCCGGCCTCATTAGCGCGGGTCCCCCCTCCACCCCCGCATTTTCCACGCGGGTTACGCTGGCGACGCGCTGTCTGTCGCGGCCGCGGCCGGGCGCGCAGCCGGGGCCCGCGCGGCTCCTCCAGGTACCGGCGCGGAGCTGCACGCCGCCCTGCAGCGACGCCGGCGATTTATTTTTTTTTAACCTTTCTTTTCTTCTTCTTTTCCTCCCCTTTTTTGGCCCTGCGGCGGCGGTAGGAAGTGGCAGAGCCGCTGCCGCAGGAAGCTGATGTGTGTCAAGAGGCCGGCGGCGCGAGGGGACCGGCCGCGGGMGCTGCCCACGAGGGCGCCCGGGCTCCTCGCTCGCGCTGCGGCACGTGCCCTGCGTCGGGACGAGCCGCGGGAACCTCGCGGGGCTTTTCCCTCGATGGAGGCTGCCCAGCAAGCGGCACGGCCGTGGGTGCAAAGTGCGGGGCGAGCAGGATCATTGCTTCTGTATTTCGGTCCCTTAAAAAATAACCACCACTCAGTGCTTCAGAAGGAGGCCCCCTGAGCCCGCCCTGGTTTCGGTCACAAGAAGCGGCGGYGTAGGAAAGTTTGCTGCCCTGGTTTAGGGCCATGTTGCAACGTCATCCAAGTCTGCAGAAAAACTCCTCGCTTGCAGCAACTGCCTCCTGCGTCCCCGAGCTGGAGGCAGCGGCGTGGGGCCTCCGTCTGCTGGGAGCATTGACTGGCATTAATGCCGCTTCCCCAGGAGCCACGGGCTGCTTCCTAGCCCAGTTTCTGCCCCAGGCACCGGTAAATCCCTGGAGTGGGGGGACAGTGCCTGCCCCCAGCTCCTGCACCAGGGGATGGAGGCAGCCCGGAAGGCTCCCTTGGGAGCTGCAGCCGGCGCAGGGCAGCAAAGGCAACGGCCTCAGCGATGCCCTGTCTGGGTGGCCAGAGCCACGCGGCACCCCACACGTAGGAGCAGAGCTGCAAATCACAGCCCACAGCAGGACAACCTCCCCGGCTCCTCGTGCGGCGCCCGGCAGACTCCTCTTCTTCCCTGTGCAAAGTGCCGGCAGCGGCTCCCAGCCTCGCACCAGGGTCAAGGCAGTTAATCACAGAATCACAGACTCCTCAAGGTTGGAAGGGACCTTTAGAGATCATCTAGTCCAACCTGCTGCACACACAGGGTCACCTAGAGCATGTGACAGGGCTGCATCCAAGTGGGTTTTGAAGATCTCCAGAGAAGGAGCTGCAGTTGCACCTGGGATGATGATTCACCCTCTTACCRATAGCCCACACAGGTGCATCCATTTGCTCCAGCAAAGGAAAGCACCTGGGAGTTACTCAACCCTTTCTGCCACTTTGCAATGCTGCTGCTTCCTTGCAAAAGGCTGGCACGGCCCATGGATAGGGGCAGTGGCTCGTGTCCCCGTGGGTGCCACAGGAGAGCTGGTGGCCCCACATGCCTGTGGGGTCAGCTCTGCTGGGTCTGGTTTCTCACCAAGCCGC